TCCACAGGTCTTTGGTGCCCCCCGCCCCACTTGCCCTTCGGGTCTGAGCTCTCTTTTGTCATGTCTAGAGCAAAGCCACGTTTACAAACTCCTCTTGACCATAAACTCTTTCTATTTTCCTTGTTCTACAGGTTGACACTTTGTTTGGGGCATAAAATGAGTTTTAAAAATTGCTGGACCTGGTAATGCAGGACTGTCACCCCGGCACCTCTGGGGCCAAAGCAGGAAGACCTAAATTCAAGATCCCTGCCTGGACTACAGAATGAGCTCAACACCAGCCTGGGCTGCTTTTTGAAACACTGATTCAAAATTAAAAAAAGAGGACTGACTGGGGGTATACTCAGTGCAAGGTCCAGGGTTCAACCCCCCCATGATTAATGAGTGCTGCAAATCTGTCTCCTGAGCCATAGTATATAAAACCACCATGGCAAATATTGTGGTATTTCTTGGAAGATAAATGATAAGAGGCTCTCTCAGTAGGCTAAATGTAAGGAAACTAACCTATGACAGCCACTGGTTGCCCCTCCTCCTCTTCCTCCCCTTCCTCCTCCTCCTTGCTTAAGATAATACAACCTTGTAGTGACAGGCCCTTGAGTCAAAGCCAGCTGGTCTGACTCCAAGAAGACCGAGTCAGAAAAGGACAAATGGAGGTCACTTTAAAAAACACAGAAGCAATGTCACCAGGCATAGCGGCACATGCCATAATCTTATGAATTAGATGTAGGATGCTCAGAAGTTCAAGGTCATCCTTGACTACACAGAGAATTCAAGACCAACCTGGACTCCATGAGACTCTTTCTCAGAGAAACAAACAAAACAAATGAACTAACTCAGGGGACTGGCGAGATGGCTGTGTAGTCAAGAGCACTTGAAATCAGGGACCTAACTCCAGACCCAAGTACAAGCTGAGCATGGACACACGTGTCTGCACCCCCAGTGCTAGAGAGGAGAGACAAGCAGATCCTGGGAGCTTGCTGGCCACCAGCCTAACCAGAACATGAATTTTAGTTTCAGTAAGAGACCTTGTCTCAAATAACAGTAATAGTAATAAATAATCATAAAGTGGAGAGCAAAGTAGGAAGATACCAGACATCCTGCTTTGGCCTCTTATGCTCAAATACCACAACACATACACATTCACTAAATAAATAGAACCAAAATATTATTTTAGGGGCCGGAGAGATGGCTCAGCAGTAAAGAGTACTTGCTGCCATTACAAAAGACCCCAGTTTGGTTCCCACGCTCATGTCAAGAAGCTCACAATGGCCTATAATTCCAATTCCAGAGGATCCGATGCCCTCTTCTGACCTCTGTGAGCAAGTACACTTATATGCTTAAGCAATAGACATAAGGGGCTGGAGAGACGGCTCAGTGGTTAAGGGCACTGACTGCTTTTACAAAGGACCTAGGTTCAGTTCCCAGCACCCACATGGCAGGTAACGACCATTCATAACTCCAGTTCTAGGGGATCCAAAGTCATTTTCTGGTCTCTGTGGGCATTGCATACACATGGTACACTTACATACATGCAGGAAAAACACTCATATATATTAAATAAATAAATATCTTAAAAACATATTTTAAAGAGTCATGTGACATGCCCCCCCTTCCAAAAAAGTATAATCTTTTAAAATTTTATTTTATTTATTACTTTTATTTTTTATTTATTTTTATTTTTTATTTTTGTCTTTTTGAAGCAGGGTCTCCCTGTAGCCCCAGATGGCCTGGAGCTCACTATGTAGACCAGGCTGGCCTTGAACTCACAGAGATCTGCCTGCCTCTGCCTCCCAAGTGCTGGGATTAAAGGCATGTGCCACCACGCCCGGCTTTATTATTTTTATTTTATTTGGATACTTGGTCTCCAGTTTGAGGAGCTGTCTGGAGAGGGTCATGGAACCTTTAGGAGGTGCAGCCGTGCACGTCACTGGGACAGGAACACTTTGACAGCATGAGCTCCCGGCTTCTGCTCCAGCCCCCTCCGCCACCATGGGTCCCTGCCATGGTGGACACTGTGCCTCTGGAACCATAAACCAAATAAACTCTTCCTTCTGTGAGTTGCCTTGGTTATGGTGTTTAATGACAGCAACAGAAAAGCAACTGATCCAGCAGGTAAAGGTGCTTTGCCACCAAGTCTGATGACCTGCATTTGATCCCAGGACCCACATGATGGAAGAAGAGAACTGACTTTGGCAAATCGCCCTCTGACCTCCACATGTGCTCCAAAAGGCATGCTCTCAACCTACACGTGCACACACAAATAAATAAATAAATGTGAAAAAAGAAAATATAAAACAACTTAACATGCATTTCTAAAACTATCCTCTATTCAATACCGTGACAAATGTGTGTGATAAAAAGACCTATTTACTATTCAGTTTTAAAAAACAAACCATTGCCAGGCATGGTGGTGCATGCCTTTAATCCCAGCACTTGGGAGGCAGAGAGGTAGGTGGAGCTATGTGTATTTCAAGCCCAGCCTGATCTACATAGCAAGTTCCAGGCCATCTGGGGCTACAGGGAGACCCTGTCTCAAAAAGACCAAAAAAAAAAAAAAAAAAAAGAAAAGAAAAGAAAAAAATTAAAGCCAGGAGTGGTGGCACATACCGTTAGTCCCAGCACTCGGGAGGCAGAGACAGGTGGATTTCTGCAAGTTTAAAGCCAGCCTGGTCTACATAGTGAGTTCCAGGCCAGCCCTCTACAGGGAGACCTTGTCTCAAAAAAAAAAAAAAACAAAAAAAAACAAAAAAAAACAAAGCCAAAACCAAAAACCCCAAACAAAAGCCTCTTGAACTTGTGCCAACAAGATAGCCTGACTTGATATGTGGTTCCTTCCTGACACTCAAACCTCAGAAACAAATGCCATCTTCATGAGAAGTACAGAGAGAACCACAAACCAAACCTCAAAATAGATTTCTCTGAGAAAATACCCTTTAAAAAAAAAATTCCCTTCCAATGTGGGAGCTGATGATTAGGAAGCTGAGTTTCTCGTCCAAGACCCCCTCTTTCAACTAGAAGGTTTTGCTGCATCTTCCTCTGTGAAGCTCCTGCTTCTTCTAGAGAATAAAATGCATCTCTGGAGTGCCTATCATGGGCCTTAGGACCACGAAGTAGCTGAGGCGGCACCCTTACCACAGTAAGTCAGCATTTGCTCTTTGCCTGAAATTTTTGGAGTTTTTAGTCAGAATCACTAATAATTCCTTAATGACAGACATTGTGCCATAAATACTGCCCCCTTTATTTACTCATTAAATTTTTTTATGCATATGAGTGTTTTGCCTGCATGTATGTAAGTGCATGCATGCATACAATGCTGGTGAAGGACAGAAGAGGGCATTGGATCCCCTGGAACTGGAGTTATGGATGGCTGTTAGCTGCCACATGGGTGCTGGGAACTGAACCCAGGTCCTCTGCAAGAGCAGCCTGTGCTCTTAACTGCTGAGACAGCTCTCCAACTCACCCTCCCCCCACCTTTTTAAAAGATGAGGTTGTACCATATAGCCCAGGCTGGCTGGCCTCAGACTCCAGGCTATCTTCCCACCTCAGTCTCTTGAGTACTGAGATTACAAAGCCTGTGCCACCAGGGTGGGCTTAAAATGAACTTAAAAAAAATTTTTTTGGTAGTACTGGGGATGGAACCCAGAGCCTGTACATGCTGGGCAAGTGCTCTACCGCTAAGCTGCAGGGTAGCTGCTACCTTCTTTACCTCCTTTTTATAGTTCTGTGGTTATGTCTCAAGGCAGATTTGGATTATATAATGCCCTTCAGAGATTCCCGTTAAATTTAAATTGCCTGTAACCTTCAAATGAAAGACTTAAGAGAGATAACAGTTAGTTAAAAAGCAGCCATTGGGGCTGGAGGGATGGCTCAGCCATTAAGAGCACTTACTGCTCTTGCAGTTTAACACGCTGGGTTCTCAACACCCACACTGGGCAGATCACCGCTGTCTGTAACTCCAGCTCCAGGGTGTCTGACACCCTCTTCTGGACTCGGAGGGCACCTGCACTCAAGTGCACAGCCACACAGATACAGACATTTACACATCATTTAAAAATAATGAAAACAAATCTTTAAAAAAGTGAAAATACAATACGGCCACCTTAGACAGCCACAATCTCTGCTCACTTAATTAATATAAAATCACATTTACATTAAGTCTTAATTCGTTAAGGCACCAATCCTGTGTTTTTCTCCGGAGGCGGAGTGCGCAGGAGGCTGCGCGGGGCCTTTTCTTCTCCCTCCTTCCTGCAGCGCTTACCCTGCAGGTCAGGCAGTAACTAATGCCAACAAAACATCAAAATAGACGTGCTAGCATGTGTGGTCATGCAGCCGCGCGGCTGCCTGAAGATTAGGCAACTGTTCAAACACCACGGCCCGCAGGCTCGGCCTCGGCCTGCCGGGGAGCTCCCAGCAGCGCCTTGGAGTCCCAGCCGAGCCCTCCTGGGCGCCCCCAGCACCCGCTGCTGCAGCCGGCAAGGCCAGGGGCTGGCTGCGAGGCTAGGGGCTGCGGTCGCGTGGTCCCAAGTGGGACCTGCCCAGGAGGTCCTGGGTACCCGGCTGGGTCCTCTGCTGCCCAGCGTAGCCCAGGCGCTCCGAAATCTCTGCTGAGTTCTGGAGAGACGTGGTGGATAAGGGACTTTCCGGGAAGTGAGCGCAAGGAAGAAGTGAAGGAGACCCCAGTGGAGGAGAAGGAGGAGGAAGAGGAGGAGGACGCGCAGAGGAGGAGAGGAGAAGAGGACGAAGAGGAGGAAGAGGAGACGAGGATGAGGGGAGGAGGAAGAGGAGGAGGAGGTGGTGGAAGAGGAGGAGGAGGAAAGGAGTAGCAGGGCACGCAGGGGAGGAGGAGGAGGAGGAGGGAGGAAGAGGAAGAAAGGGTCAGGCTGAGGAAAAAGTTGTCCACTGGAGAGGTGGAGGAGGATGAGGAGGAGGAGGAGGAGGAGGAGGAGGAGGGGAAAAGGAGTAGCAGGGCCACAGAGGAGAGGAGGAGAGGAGGACGGGGGGAGGGAAGCGGAGAGGAGGAGGAAGAGGAGGAGGAAGAGGGGAGGGGCAGCTGGGTGCGCAGAGCCCTGAAGGCTTGCTCCCCGCGCACAGCAGCAACAGGCGTTGAGGGCCAGCGCTCCCTCTGTCCCCCGGGTCCCAGAGACCGCCCAGCTCCACTCCACACTCATCTGTCCACTCTCCGCCCTCATGGCTTCTCCGGATGACCCTGGGCACACAGGTAAAGCAGCACCGTGCCTCGCACTCACTTGGAGCGGAGGCCACGACAAGGGTTCTCGAGGCCAAACTACGGCCACCCAGAGAGTGCTTGGGAGGCCGGGTCCGCTCCTGATGTGCGCGCGGTGGATGGGGATGGTGGTGCAGCGCCCTACCTCCACGCAAGCCGCGGTGACCAGATCGCCTCCCGATCACCGCGCGCTTTGGGGACCCTGGGTCCCTCTCCCCGCCTCGCCCGGCGCAGGGCTTTTGTTCTGGGCTGCGGGGCCAACAAGTCCCGCAAAGCAGAAAAGAACAGGAGCGAGAGGATTTCTGCGTCCGCCCCGGCCTCTCCCGACTCCTCACTCACACGCCTTCTAGCTCTTTCTGGCTCTTCCTTCCACTTTGCCGAGATGGTTTTGCCTTAGTAAATCTTGGTCCTCTGACTGGTTCATAAACTACTATCCACAGAACCACGAGGTGGATCCCACCGGTGCAGTCCGCACCTGTGAAGGCATCTGATGCCAACAGCCTCTAGTCTTGTTTACATTAAAACATTGTGCGTTTAGAGCTGAGGCCAGCATCTAGATTCTTCTGTTTTGACCCATCCTTCATTTAAAACCCTCCTCAAACTTCACCTTCCAGAAATTCTCTCATCCTGACCTCTCATAACCTTGTTGTAAACTTGATGGGCATTTGTGGGACACATGGATGAATGATACGTCCCTGGAGCACATTTGGACTTTCTGTGGTTTTGCTGGGGTTGGAAGCTCTGGGGAGAGCCAGGTGGAACCAGATGGGACTGCTCCTCGGGAAGCTGTGACTACCTGTGTTTCATATTTCATTTATTCTGCTTGGGCAGGGACAGAGTTCAGCTGCTCCAGCCCTGATGAGTGACTTGACCTGTAAGGGGACAATTCTTTGTGTCTGGTGATTGACCAGAAGATTAAACCCAGCGGCTAAGTCGGCCGTTGTGAAGTGCTGGTTTGGGGGGACTTTCCTGGTGATGTCAAAGAATGATCTAAATTCTTCAAGTGGTGAATGGTCAAGGTGCTAGTAATTGAAGATGGACAACAATCAGCTGTCTTTCCCTTTCTCTGTACCTAGTGTTTGGGAAAATGGAAGAGGAGATAAAGGGGAAAATCCTCCCACTCCAGGTCCCATTTCCAATACCATCCCCTCTTCTGATGGGAAGCTAATTAACAAGGTGCCAAGAGGTGTCTGGGGGTAATTTTAGTCATAATGGTTCCAGATCTTACTAAGTGATATTGGGGGGTGGCTAAGAGATGAAGAGAAAGGATTTAACTGGATGGAGATACAGGCAACATCTGCCTGAGCCCCCAACATTACTGACTCCAGAGAAAGTGGGGGGTAGGATCCATTTTAGCTATGACAAAAAGTCCGAGGGAGGGCTGGGGAGATGCGCAGTTGGTAAAGTGCCTGCCCCACAAGCAAGCGTGAGGGCTTGGGTTGGATCCCTAGCACCCACGTAGAAAGCCAGGCATGGTGGCATCCATCTGTAATGGGTGCTGAGGGGGAGGCGGAGACAGGAAGATCCCTGAAGCTCACTGGCCAGCCAGCCTAGCTAAATTGATATATTCCAGCTTCTGTGAGAGATTCCATCTCAAAGAATAAGGTGGAGAGTGGCTGAGGAGATGGCTCAGTGGGTAAGAGAGCCTGCTGCTTAAACATGAGGACCTGAGTTCTAATCTAAGTTTAAATCCCCAGCACCTACATAAAAACCTAGGCACAGCACCTGTGCCTGAAACCCCCAGAGCTAGGGGTGGGGGTGGAGACAGGAGGATTGCTGGGGCTTGTTGGCTGTCAGCCTGATCCAGGTTCCGTGAGAGATCCTGTCTCAAGGGAATAGAGAATGATAGAACAGGACATCCAACATCTTTCTCTGGCCTCCATGTAAGTATGGGTGCACACACACACACACACACACACACACACACCTCAAAGTGAGGAGCGAAGTTGACCTGTGGCCTGCATATACATGCATATACATGTGCATGTGCACCTGCACACATGTGTACATACAGGAACATGTACATATAATATACACACACACAGTCTCAGGGAGTCAACAGTACAACGAACCCATGTGTATGTGTGAGACAAGCATATAATCTTAGGCAACAGCTATAGCGCTGTAGGGTTAGAATTCCAACCATAGTCTTATTAGCTTGTCTCCTTCAGATGCCTGCTACATAAAATAAAGAGCCTTTAAAAATCCCTGCATGTGAGCAGAGGATATTTTGTGACAGTCTATCTCTCATGATGCCAAGGAGCAGAACCCACACCTGTAGGTGAACACTTCAGGAGGAGATGGGTTGCGGATGCCCACATCCAGGAAGGAGGTCTCCTTTAGATTGTGATCTCTCTGGCAGGGGATGGTGAAGCCCATGTTGGGGCTCTGTCAACCAAATGAGATTCCTCCACATAACACACACATATAGATACTGGTACACTTCCATTCAGACATACTCATCTGCCCATCTTTCATTTCTGTAATGCAACCACAGAAGGTGTCAATGTGTACAACTAGTTCTCCACCAGACCGTGTTCTTTCCCCTGGCTTCCTATACCCACCTCCCAACTGGGGTTTCCACACTCATATTTGCCCTCGGCCAACTGTTCTCCAAATGTAGTCAAAGTAAACTCTTGAAGAGGTCAGATCCCATCATCCTTTTGCTTTGAACCACTTTCCTGACAAACCCTCAGACCCTAAATTGTTTCTCTAGATCCTGATACATCCTTACCTGTCCTTCCACCCCCTTTTGGTCACTTGCTCCAAGCGTGACAGCCATACAGCCTCCTGGCCACTGGCCCTTGAATAGATTGAACCCAGTACCTGGAAGGCTCCCTGCACCTTCCCCTGCCTGATACCTCCTGGTTTTCCAGACTTCAGTTCAAAGATGATCCATGCCTAGTTGGAAGTAACCCACCCTTGGCTCTCCCAGAACCTTCTTTTCACAGTTTCTAGGATTCTATCTAGCCAATGCTCTCCATTGGAGAGTAGGCTCCACATGGAGCTCCAGTCTGTTTTGCCTGCAGCTCTTCTCTAAACACCTACCATAGTGTTCAGTACATACTAAGCCCTGTATAAACACATCGCTTCAGCGAGTGAAGTAATGGATGATACAAAATTTGAAATTGTGGGAAAAAAAAATGTTCTTCCTGTATTGATTCAATCCTCCTGCCTCAGCCTCATGAGTAGCTGGGATGACAGGCCTCTACCACCAGGCCTGGCTGTTTTGCTTTCTCTGAACATCTCTGCTTCCTGAGTTTTCTAATCTCCCTCCTCTTTATCTCCTTGCACATTCTTCGTTCCCTCCCATCCCTCCTCTCCTGCTGCTTTTCAGCCTGATCCTTTCACTGGAGCAGTGGGTGAAGTCACTCTCTAAAATCCCTTTAGGATCATGTAGGTTTGACCCATGTCTCTTCCTCAGGCAGGTTAGCCCCAGGACAGAGGGGGAAGAGGCTGTCAGTACCAACAGCAGCCACTGCAGCTCTGAGATTATGAGTCATTACAAGCAGGAAGGCAGCTATGGGTGAAGGGGCAGGGGGGTGAGTGAGGAGAAGCCTACCTATGAAATCCCAAGTTCAAAGAGTTCCTTCAGTCCGTCACTAGAAAGCACAAAAGGCCCCACGCTTGGCTTAGAGCACCGGAAGCCTGACGTGCATCCCTCTTTGTTTTCTCTGAACCGACACCTTTGGTGACATTTATTTGCACTTCCTGGGACTAGCTGCCGAATGTGACAGGTAAAGGGCGACGTCACCCACTGATGTCTTGTTTTGGGGCCTATGCTGCTGGTTCCTCCCACAGAGGCTTTGGGGGTGCTGAGCGGGTCCCCCTACCTAGCTCCTGACTCAGAGATAGGGTTAGATCTTTGAGATGAGGATGAGTAGAGATTTTTGGATTTAGAGTTGATGCTAGAATGTTTAAGGCTCTGAGGGAGCGTGGGGCTTCTGCTTCTGGGAAAGCTATGAACAGCGGAGGGAGGGTTGATAAAGGTGGAGTAGTGACTCTTCAAAGAAAATGTTCTAACCCCCCATAGCTCAGAAAAGCATGTTGAAGTCCAACCCTCAATACCTCAGAAAACTACGAAGTTCTAACCCCCAATTCCTCAGATAAATAGATACTGAAACCCTAACACCCAGTACCTCAGAAGTAATGTTATTTGAAAGTGGAGTTTTTACTGAGGTAACCTGGTTAAAATGAGGTTATCAGAGTGGATTTCTATCCATTAGGAGGATGTCTGTATAGAAAGAGAGATGGGGCCGAGGGCATGGCTCAGCTGGGAAAGGCACTTGCTGTGCAAGCCTGGTAACCTGAATTCGATCCCCAAACCCACTTAAAGATGAAAGGAGAGAATTCGCTCCACAAAGTTGTCCTCTGACCTCCACATGTGTGTTGTGGCACATGTGTGCCCACACTCGCACACACTTAGCATAATATGTAATAAATAAAATTTTAAAATGAGAAAGATTATTAAAAGTAAATAAATAGGGTAAGTCTGGGCATAGTGACATCCCCAGATGAGTCTCTCTGGCGAATAGCGCCTGAGCCACTTCTAGAAGCCCATGGTGCTTGAAAACGGGCCTGCATGGAAGCCAGAAGCCTCGAATGCAAAGCCCGCCTCTTCCATGTGTCTGTGAGTGTGAGTACACATCGTGTGAAGAGAAGAAGTCTCACACCTTTTCAGGGTGTTTGCAAAGCTGAGGTGCTGCCACACAGACCAGTTACGTGACCACAGGGGTGTGGAGTCCCTTCCTGAGCCAGTAGGCAGTGGGCGTCAGCAGGGGGTCGTTCCTTCCAGCTTAATTCTGACTTTACTGGTAGGCGGTTGGAGACCCACAGGTTGAGGACTTGTCCCCTAGACTGCCACTGCCCCTAAGATTCCGTGTCCCACGCTGCTGAATCTGTGTTTCTGGCAATCACCTCGGGTTTGACGAATCTGCTCAGAAAAAAACATTTACTTACCTTTGCTAGTTTTTCAGTTTGTTTTGTGGTGCTGA